GAACCTTATTCATCATCCCAATCCTCTAGGGCAATTCCTATCCAGCAGCTCCGAGCATCCATACCATCCCCGGTTGAAACGGCAGTGGTCTCGAGATCTTTTGTAAATATGCCTTTGGAGTCCTGGCAATGGCCAGCTTCTCCACTCATGTCCAGAGCGTCTGTGGCTCTAGTGCCCTCTTTCAGTCTCTACTGGCTTTTAATAATAGTGATGCGGCTGGAAGTGGCACTGGGATCTCCTGGAGTCCTCCTTTGCCTTCCACGTGTGGGGGAAAAGCCCTGGCTCGGAGATTCCTGGGCGAATGTATATATTTTATATAGGTATGAATGTGTTTAGAAGTTTTTATTTTATTTGTTTATTTTTTCTTATGTATTTACTTTTTTATCAGTATTATTTATTTACTTTTTTATATTTATAGTTATTTCTCTATCATTTCATATATTGTATGAATGTGAACGTTTAGCCTTAATACTTATAGCCCTCCAACAGTGGCTGATTGTATCATTATTCAATAAAAAAAAATTTAAAAAATCTTTTAAATCGAATAATTAGGAGCAAAGATATGGTACTCTAGATATTTGTTATATGTTCTACTGCAAATGTTATATACTTTGTTTTTTTAAAGTTTTCTGATTATATATTTTTCTTAGAACATTAATAATCATGAGAAAAAAAAAATACTTAGTCTAATAATAGGAATCATTTTTTATTTATTTTTCTTTATGTTACCAGCGAGGTAACGTTACTTCAGATGTATAATTGTTCGGAAATAATAAACCTATTTGTGTAATAACTTGCAACTTTTTTTTTTCTATTGAAGTTATCATTTGATTTTTAGGAATAAATTTATAATTTTTTATGGATAAATTTTTTTTTTCATTTAAACTGATAACGAATAGGTGACGCCACACTCACTGAGAACGAGAAAATACGTGTAATAATGAAATATGTAATTAAAACAAGCTCATAAAATTTAAATTGAAATTCCACTCCTCACCGCTAGCTAGAAACAGAGAAATGTGTGGGAATAGGTACAGTAATAAAATATTCATGATAACATAAATGATACAGAAAATGTTTTGTGTGCTGTGAAAATTCATAGCGCTGCAAATATTTTTATTCCTAGTATTATCAAACCGGAATTATACAAATTATTTTTATTTCAATATTTTAACAATTGAATGTTATAATTGAGTAAAAATTTACCTCTGGAAATGTCGGATACTTTACAAGCAAGAGAATCTGTAACCTCCGTATTCTTTCGGATACATTCGGGTCTTTTCGAGAATCTATGATTAGCAAGCACTAAGGATCACTAGCTCCAACTCAGTAAAGCTTAGATTAAGCGTTATCTAAGATTAAACCAAGTTTAATTAAACCGAGATCGATCTATCAAGATTATAAACTTGGTTTAATCTTAGTTAACGCTTAATATAAGCGTTGGAGCAACTGGCCCCAAGTGTTCTACTGCCGCCATCTTGGAATAGCAAAAGGTTATAATAATGAGAACCCACACAACCAAAAATTGATAAGGGTTATGTTAGATAAGGTAACATAGTTCACTAGTACTCGTCCATACTTCGTAATTTATAAGAAATAGTTATGGATAAGAAAGTACAGGTAGCTAATGAGAAACTCCATAGAGCGATAATACTAGAAATATAACTGTCTATATCTTCATTAGTTCTGAACTAAACTACTTTATTACAATGAAAACTTCGTCAGATATCCAAAGAGTAACGCTCGGGTAAAGTCGGCTGAAGTCGACTAAAGGTTTTTCTAAATGGATTAAAATATCACAAAAACTAAAAATCAGACTTGCATATTGTTGGCGAAGGAAATGTTCATAATTTCAACCTCTTTGTAATGAGCTATTATTAAAAATTGTATCTTAACTCGAAGCTGTGAGAAAAAAAGTGTATAATTAAATCACAGATTAAAACTGTTGCATTCATTATTAAGACGACATTCTAAAATAAAAGCAAGACAGAAATTAAATATTTATACATATCTATTGAAACCTCCCTGGACATATGGACTACAAATACATGGAATTGCGAAACCAACACGCATAAAACTACTTTAAACTTTTCAGTCTAAGATACTACGACTAATTACCCAAGCACCCTGGTACGTGAATAATAACACTTTACACACTGACTTACACATGCCAACGATCAATGAGCACATACGAACTTACTACAAACGATTTCATAATAAATTATAAGGACACTCCAACCAGCTAATTAATGAAATGGCCACTACTATTATGCCGGAGAACTCCAGAAGACGACTGAAAAGGGACTGGATGAGGGACCTAATTACATAATTGTATATAAGTAAGTAAAAGCGATGGAAGGAATGCCGCTGGGCATTGCTTTTCCTCATGCCTATCAAGCCTTTTTTTTTTTGTATTTCTTTTATTTCTTTTATCTTATTATTGTGCCAGCTCATCTGATTGACAGGTGCGGATTAATAAATAAAAGTGCTAAAAAAACAAAAAACTCGAAGCTGTGTTAGAGAGGCAAAAAGCAAATAAATAAAATCGAAAACCAAATAATAAGGAGTTTTATTTGAAGATATTGATTTAAATATCTCAGAAACTAAAAATCGGACCTGCATACTGTAAGCGAGAGAAATATTCAGCATTTCATCCTCTTTATAATGAGCTATTATTTATAATTTATATTTCATATTATTAATCTCGCCTTTTTGGTTTTTTCCCTTCTATCGTTTGTTCTATTATTTATATAATAAACCTTTACAATATTAAAGGTTAATATTTGCTATATGCCCTGAAAAGGTAATCGGTGAACGGAGGTTTGTTGACAAATTGGTGGTGTCGGCATCGTACCTTCGGGTTTACTTAGTCTTTTATAGATTAAGGTCTTCTGAGTTCAGGTTACTCTCCATCAAGAACACGAACGGACCTGATGAAAGCATTTTTATCGAAAAGTTTCCCTATGAAGGACAACAGGAAACCAGTAGATCTCATATCGTAACATCTATTATGTTCAAAATAGGAATGTTTTTTTGGACGTCGGTTTTTGGTGGATATTATATTTTTAATATTTTATCACACCAAGTGCAAAATCCTGGAAAATCTCATCCTAAAACGTCTGTATCCCATTCTAGATTCGAGTCACATAATCCCAGATCACCAATTTGGATTCCGCAGATCCCATTCCATTAAAGTAAAAACAATCCATATTGTCTAATTAATAAAAGTTGTTTTTGTCACTTAGTTAACTTTATTTATTATTTCTCAAACGTCATATAATCGTCAGACAGAGAGCTCGACACTTTTGAAGAATAGTCGACTAGAATAAAAATATTCGTAAGACCATACGTATGCTTCATTAATTTATTTTTCGAAATTATAACAGTCTATATTTTCATAGGTTTTGAACTGAAAATCTTTATTAATATTTCAATCAAAAATAATGATACAATTTATAATGATTTTTCCAATATTTATCATTTATCAAGATCTGTTGGGGTGGTTAGTGGTAAAAAAAATATATAGCAAAAATAAATAATTGAATTTATTTTTATTTTTGACGACGTTTCGGCCCAAAGTTCTTGCCTTCATCAAGTCTAGAAAAAAAAAAAACAGATAACAATAGGTATGAGAAACTATAAACATTGAATAATAGAGAATTAAAATAAAAAAGGTGAAAGGTATAGACTAAAAAATGTAGGTAGAATATACTTGAAGTAAAATAAAGTAGATAGAAATATAACAGTAACAGTATTTTATATATTTTTACTATGCATTGATTTTGAACTTATTTCAGAACAGTAAATATTTCCGAAATTTATTTTATGTTTTTGAAAAATAATTTTCTATAAAATAAATGGTAATCAATCAATAAATAAAAGAGTGGATGAAAAACTTTCCTTTAATTATTTCAGACATAACGCATTCAGAAATAAACGGCAATAAATGTTGAATTCATTCAAAGTTCAAAGAGTACTTATAATAAAATTTGACGAATAACTATTATTTTAGAAATAATTATTTCATGATTATTCATTTATTAAATGATGTCAGCTTCCTTACTTAGACATAGTCCGGGGTCTTGGCTTTCTCTTAGACCAAAGACTGACATGGAATCCACATACAAGACTCAAAAGACAAGAACTCAACCGACGATATAGACTACTGAACAGAAAATCTCAACTTTCAATTGACAACAAACTACTGATCTACAAGACAATACTGAAACCTATTTGGACCTACGGACTGGAACTGTGGGGGACAGCAAAAACATCAAACGCATTCAATCCTTTCAGTCCAAAATCTTTCGAACAGTAGTTGATGCTCCGTTCTATGTAACCAACCAAACCCTACATCATGACCTTAATACTCCATTTGTCCTAGACCTTATCCCTCAAAAAATTTCCAAATTCCACCAAAACCTTGCATATCATCCAAATCCAATTGCACAATCCCTATCAGCCATCCCTACAATCCTCCTCGAAGGTTGAAGCGACAGTGGCCCAGAGACTTGTTGCAAGAATATATAGGAGTTATGGCAATGACCAGATTCTCCACTCAAGCCATGTATGTCTGGTTTATTTTTATTTAGTTTAATATCTTTTAGTTTACATACAATTTACTTTAGTATTATTATATTGCCGTTTATTATTTTTATTTATTGTACATAGTATGAATGAGCTACTCTATATCACTACTACTATTGTCCTTGAATGTGACAGATTGTAATATTTCAATAAAGAAGTTTAAAAAAAAAAAATGTCAACAATGCCCAGATCTAGGAATGATAAATGAAAGTGGTCAGTGGTGGACTACTACAGTGACTGTCACGGTGGGCCTGTCACTGTGACAGAATCACAGTTCCGCCTATATTGCCCCATAACTTGTTGATACATATTTCATGGCGGACTCACGGAATATCTCAACCTTTCCACTCAGAATAGAGCAGGTTTTTTATAGTTATAAAATAAAATCCATCCAATAAAGACTTTAAACTTTAGACATAATTTGGTGTACATTTTATACGTACGATATTGTTTTCAGATGGACAAGGATATCTTGGAGAGCGTCCTGAAGAGGAACTGGAGAGAGGTTAGCTTGGAGAAGATTGTGAGCGTAGAAAGTTCTCCAGCCGTTGGAAAACATTTGAACTTTTTGTCAAATGTCGACAGGCTCAACATCAAAGCAATCCTTGGCAATGGCAGAATTGCAAAGAAGAGCCTCATTATCAAATTATGCACAGTCACCGGCGAATTTCAATCAAAATTCAATGGAAAATACGACACCTTCAAAACAGAAACCATGGTTGGTAATTATTCCTTAATTAATCATAGATATTTTCCAAATACAAATAATTGTAAAATGGAAATGTTTGAATATGTCTTATATATCGATATTCAGATATTTTGAACTATATTTCTCCCTATTATATAAAGAAAATTTTAATTGTATGTCATATTAAGTATATATCACTATTGTTAGTGGAAATGATGTACGTAAAAGTATTCAATTTTTATTGTATTTTTGACATTATGTAATCTACAATTGATATAAGTAGTCTACTACTACGAAATATTGCAGAGAGCAATAAAATATAAAATTATACTCATAAATAATGAAGAAATAATTAGTTTTTATGCTTCCCTTTAAAACACTCAATTTTTACATGCGTCATTTGCACTAACGGTAGCGAGATGCATATTCAGTGTGCACTGGATTTTTTTTTATTACGAATTATAAAATAATAATAATAATAATCTGCAAATGCGGAACTTTTTCGCATTTTAGCATTTGCTAATGAAAATTAAAATGAAAATAGATTTTTACTATCCTGGGACTGTTATCCCTTTAGGACAAATTATAGATACCGAGGAAATGCCTGTGTGGCCATAAAATAAAATTAAATATTTACAATTCTCATTAAAATTATAATATTGGAAGAAAAATAAAACAAACACAAAAACACTAAATACATACAGATATAAGATAACATGTGAAAATAAAATAACATAATTATAAATGCACACATCTATTTTTGGATAAGTAATTGAATTTCCTTGCTAAAAATAAATCATGGTGTGATAAAAATTTAATAAATCATGACGGTGTGACATATGAATGAACACACACTCACATATCTTTAGATCACCATACACCAAAAATAGAACAACATTTTTGTGGATGCGAAACGTGGCCACTTGCATAACGGATGAGCAACGTATTAAGGTTTTTGAAAATAAAGTACTGCGTAGAATATTGGGACCCACTAGCGAATCCAGGATTTAATTTTTTTGGGGGGGCTTCAGCCCAAAAGCTTTTTTTTTATTTATAAAAATGACGAAACTACTTTGGAAAAAAAGAAAGAAACTAACTACCTATATAAAATGATGTTTAAGTGATTCCTTAAGTCTTTTTAAATATAATTACACGAACAATAATACATTAAGTATAATAATTTTTTAATATATTTTTCCATAAAACAAGGTTATATTTTACCATTTTGGGGGGGCTTCAGCCCGAAAGTCCCCCCCCCCCCGTAGATCCGCCCGTGTTGGTATCGAAGAAGAATGAGTTAAACGGAGAGTTCAGACGGTTACACATGGCCGAATTGCGTGAACTGTATATGGTTAATATAATTGAAGTGATTACATCGCGGCGATCAAATGGTCTTGTGAAATTGTTGTGATTAGTAACGAAAGAATTAATAAAAGATTAATATTAGCAGCACCTAATGTTAAACGTCCGAGAGGAATACCGAAGCGAAGGTGGGAAGATTACGTTAAAGCCGATCTGAAGGAACTGGGTTTGGACGGCGGATGCTGGAGGAAGGTGTGTAACAAGCAATTGGTAGTGTCGGAATTGAACCTTCGGGTTTGCTAAACCTTTTATTATTGATTATTATTAAAAATAAATCATACAAAATCTGATCAGAATTCAAAATAACGTAACACTAGTTGGCCAGTGCAAAAAAATTCCTAGAAAATTTTGATTAGTGAAGAAATAGCAAAACAATATGGAAATAAGTAAGGAAGGAATTAATATTTTTTTCTTGGTTGATTACAATATTCCCTTAAAGATAATAGAAATAATAGGAGATATTTTTAAACGCTGACTGTAATGTATACAAAATAATTCCCTGATCATGGGATATTCTAAATAATTTAAAAAAAAAATGTAAGAACAACCAAATGTCTTTACGAAATAATAAAGTTAATATATCAGCCATAAAAAATATTGTATTAGACTAGTCTACTCCTAAATGAAATATCTTTAAATCGGAAGACATTATTAAATATACCAAAACTAATGGACTGTATCTTTGTTAATAGTTGTCCGATTTTAAAGATTTTTTTTTTGTTTTGTAGGTAATTTAGTAATCTTTCTAATTATCATGGGTACAATATTTTCTGGGAACAATGATTTTCGATATAAAATCAAAGGGGGAGATTTAGTTCAAATTTTTAGAAAATAAATATATATTTTTCGATCGTAATGAAAGTTCGTATATGAAGGTCTTTCGAAATGCGAAATACAAATCTCAACTCTGTTTCTCCTTAAAAAAATATTTCAACAAACTTTACTCCTTCCGTCAATACAAATTCTTTAAATTATACATATTTCTAATCGATTTTTACAATTTTTTTTTTTGTTTTGTAGGTAATTTAGTAATCTTTCTATTTATCATGGGTACAATCAAGAAAAAAATGCATACTTTTTGAGTTTCTTTTCCTTCATAACTTTTTTCCAGAAATTTCAGAGGGATAGAAGTATTTATTGAATGGGAAGGAGAAGAATGTCTTCAAAATGGTCAATCGTTGGATTTGATGAAGAATTGACGAAGTTATGGCGTACCGACAAAAAAACATCTTTTAGAAATAATATATAGGATTGCATTGAATTTAATAAAGTGATTGAAATGGTTTCAGAAACCTTTATAATTAATTTCGATTTCATATTTTCACAAAAATGTTAATTGGAAATAACAATGTTTCAGATGTACGACACACTAACAAAAATCGAATACCTTATGGAAGAATTTGAAGATACCGAAGATATACTTTGGTGCAAAATGGTCCACCATATCCCCTACAGCTGTATCGTACTGGAGGATTTAAAGGTCTTCTTCGTAAATATATTGTATCACAAAGATAATGAAGTATTAACAAATTAATTCGTGTTTAATTTACAGGCCAGAGGGTTCCGTATGGCTGAAAGAACACAATTTTACGACTTGGATCACGCTTTGTTAGCAGTCCATTCCCTGGGGAGGTATCATGGGATGTTTAAGACACTTGAGACGAGGGGATTATCTCCGCAAGGATTAAAAACTTGGTACCTCTTCGACAGCGAAGAAATGCATGCATATTTTTATTATGACCTGGTAGGTCTGGTAGAAGCTGTTAAACGATTGTGGAATCCAAGCTGGTGAGTTTATGGCATTTTTTGTATGAAATATACATATATATATATATATATATATATATATATATATATATATATATATATATATATATATATATATAGGGTGATAAATAGTCAGGACGCAGTCATTATACAAAATTTTGTAACAACGTTTCAACCCAAACATGTTGGTCTTCTTAGCGATGAGGAAATGTTTGCAATGGAAGAAAACATTAATCTACCAGATAACATTATTCTGATATATTTCTTTATATATAAAAACTAAATTATCAAATATTAGTTACTATTTTGCCTAAATAGGTATTCAAAAAATCGATTTTTTTTTTACCAGTCTTAGTCTTGCAAAGTGCAATTTCGTTGATTGTGAGCAGTGTATAGTTGAATCAATTGTTTGCCCTGCAATTGTGCTCATACAAAATAACACCCTTGAAATCCCACCATATGGAAAGCATTTTCTTCTTTGGATGCAATCCGGGCTTTGGCATTCTTCTAGGAGCCTCACTACTAGGTCTCCAAGATTTTTTTCGGACAATATGATTGTAAAATATCCATTTTTTATCTCTTGTTAATAACCTTTTCAAAAATTGGTCTTTTTGTTGCCGTTTCCATAGTAAATCACAAACCAAAATTGACAAGTTGACTTCGGTTAGAGAGTGAGGGACCCGAACATTAAGCCTGGAAACATAGGCGAACTTGTGAAAATGGTTTTCTACGCTTGTGTGCGACACATTTAGGGCCATAGCAATCTCTCGCACTGATTTGATGGGATTTTGATCGACAATGGCCTTAACATTGCTCGTTTCAATTTTATGTGGGCGACCAGACCATTAAGCACCATTGATGTCAAAATTTCCTGAATGAAATTTGGCCAACCAATTTTGATAGGTATTATCCCTATAAGCACTGCAAATTTTTCTATGAGCTTCTGCAGCACGCTTACCTTTTTTAAAATAATACAACAAAATTGCCGATAATGAATGATATTTTCTTCCATATTCACAATGCAATAGCAAACACAAATCATAGTAACATAAAAATAAACTGAAAAACAGAAAGGACTTATTTGCCAATATATTGTTTTTTTATGTGATAATATTCCTTTGTTTTAGGACACCAATTGTAGAAAAAATAAAAATTACCAAAACAGAACTCCACGAAAGGTTAAAAACATTTAAAGAGTTAGACCAGACCAAATTTAATGTTACAAACCATGGTGACTGCCATAAAAACAACATTCTTATCAAATACGATTGGGATAAAAAGCCGATTGCTATGAGGTAAGCCATCTGTATCAGTTGAACAAATTCTAGTCTGTAATATAAATAATACTTAAATGCGGTATATTATAAAACATATTAATATTATTTTATATAAAACTTCTATATTATTCTATAATAACTGAGGACCGAGAAACTTTTTTAGAAGTACCTAAATGGATTGCTCCCAGTATAGTCTGCTCTGAATAACGTGACGTAGTCCACTAAATTTCACTGATTCCATTAGCGGATAAAGCATTTAAGTTTGGGGGAGGGGCTTCAGTCCGAAAGATTTTTTCCAAAAAAATAACGATAATTACTTTGGAAAAAAAGAAAGAAACTAACTACCTATATGAAAAAGTGTTTAAGTTAATTCCTAAAGTCCTTTTAAATGTAATTACGCGGACAATAGTACTTTAAGAGATATTTTTTAAATATTTTTTTCCATAAAACCTGGTTATATTTTAGCATTTGGGAGAGGAGGTTTCAGCCCCAAAGACTCTCCTCCCTCTCCCCTCCCCCCCAAGTAGATTCAACAATTTCGCCCTTAAAAATCAAAAAGTAACGTCGCTTTTAATTAATTTTCAACTTTAATATGGAAATGTGCCAATTTAATATAATAAAACTATATAAAATTAATACTATCATTGCACTTGGTGTTTTTGCCTTTTCTATAGAAATATATTGCATTACTTTTAGAAATGAAATGAGGTTTAATGGGGTGAGTTTTAGCCCCTTTAAGACAGAAACAGATGTTCAAATAAATATTGCAATGCCAATTTTGTGCTTAATTCAAATCTTTACTGTCAGATTGGAGTAATTTTGTTTTCGGATTTCTCACTGATAATTATTTATAATACTTATTTTTAAAGCGGATTTTACTTTAAATCTTTATATGCATTTTTTTTCTTGTTTAAAGATTTGTGGACTTTCAACTAGTGCATTACGGATCGCCTTGCACTGACTTGACTTACATGTTGTACCTGGCCGTTGATCCATGCGTTAGACGAGACAACTTCGATCTCATATTAAAGACGTACCACAACTCTCTGGTAAACACCTTGGACAAGTATAACTTCCAGGGAAACAAACCCGACATGGAGGAAATCAGGAACGGAATGGAAAAGTATTCTTTCATGGGGTTAATACTCTCTCTCACCTGGCATCCTAATTTGTTACAATCGGAGAAGAGGGAAGAACTACGCGATTACAAGAAGATAGCAGCCACCGAAGGAATGGAAGGACATGCCGACGAAGGATTCCTGCCTCAAGTTCTTGAGAGAAGTTTAGGACCTGATATAATTGCTTTTGTGGATAAGTTTTACTCTGAGAGTTAATAAATGATTTATTACAGTTGGACTTATTTACAATTCCTGAATCTAATTACTTTGTTTAATGTATTTCTATTTATAATAAATTTAAATAGGAAAAAATACATGTATTAAACAATATATATATATATATATTAATTTTTTTGCGGTTGGCTCTATAGACCTTGTAGATCTTTGGCCGCCTGAACCAGCCTTCTCCACCTCTGCCTATCTTGGGCTACTGCTTTCCAGTTTGCGGCATGAAGCTCAGCCATATCTTTGTTTATCCTATCTATCCATCTGGTTTTTGGCCTCCCACGTGGTCTCTTGCCTACTGCTCTGGCATTTATTGTCGTGCAAAGGCATCTTGATGGATTACTACGAGCTACATGCCTCGCCCATCTTAACTTCCTTGCCTTCGTGTCATTAGACATTGAGTGACCTGTTTCTTTCAGCAGTTCTTTGTTGTTCCTTCTCCTTCATGTGTCAAGGTTCTGGTCCCATGTAAGTCCTATTATCTTACGGAGAACGTTTCTTTCGAATCTCTTAATTCTCGATTCTAGTGTGCCGGTTAAAGCCCAGGTTTCATAACCGTACATCAGAACTGCCTTAAGCGCGGTGTTGTGTACCCATATTGCACCGAGAAGAAAGATCTGTTCGCACTTGATATTCGCTGGTCTATCTCTCTTAGTTGATTGTTTATTGAGGTTATTGTGGAGCCGAGGTATTTGAACCTGTTTACTTTCGGGAATGACTTAGAGTCCAAGCAGATCATGTTATTACGGTGGATGTTTCGGCTAACTATTAAATATTTTGTTTTATCTTGATTGGAACTTAAAAATTGGAATCTCTAAAACAATTATCTTGCCTACAGTTCTTTATGGATGCGAAACTTGGCCGCTTACATTAAGGGATGAGCAGCGTCTTAAGGTTTTTGAAAATAAAGTATTGCGTAGAATATTCGGACCGAAGAAGGATGAGTTAACCGGAGAGTTCAGACGGTTACACAACGCCGAATTGCGTGAACTGTATCCAGGTAATATAATTGAGGTAATTTCATCGCGGCGATTCAAATGGGCTTGTAAAGTTGTTGGGCTTAGTAACGAGAGAATTTCTAAAAGGTTAATATTTGCTGTGCCGAATGGTAAGCGTCCGAGGGTTAGACCGAAGCGAAGGTGGGAAGATTGCATTAAAGCCGATCTGAAGGGACTGGGTTTGGACGGCGAACGGTGGAGGGAGGTGTGTAATAAGCGATTGGTGGTGTCGGCATCGAACCTTCGGGTTCGCTAAGCCTTTTATTATTATCTTGATTGACTTGTCCCATTTGCTCTGCTTCCCTTAACAGAGTCCGTGTGCGTCTCTCAATATCCTCTTGATTACTTCCGAGGACAGCTATATCATCGGCATATGCTAGGATTTTGTGTTTCATTCTTCAAGTGATGTTGTTCTTATTACTTTCTCTTGGACTAAGTTGAACAGCATCGGCGAGAGTCCATCTTATTGGTACTCTGCATTTAGGATAATTTGTCATGATCTTCCAGAGACAGTTTCTGTCCATGGAGTAATAGCTGTTTTGAAGTCGACAAATAAGGCGTAATTATAAATAAAGAAATAACTGTTTCTTGTTTCAAAATTTATATTTAAAATAAAGAATACCTGCTGAATGCTTAAATTACTTTCATGAAAATGTAAATATTAATATCAGGAACATTTAATTACTTATAAATATGGATCAAGTCTTGTAATAAAAACACATTAACATTATCACTTTAGATGTTGAATAATAGAAAAATCATTATTTTTAATTTTTGTTTTGATATAAATATAACGGCAATTATATTTATTACAATAATTACCATGTTATCGAAACAAAAATTTAAGTATTGCAATAATTTATTGTAGTTAAAAGTATCTATCTAGAATGATAATTCTATATAATTAAATGAGAACAATTGAAACACTTTATTTTTGCTGAAAACAAGGTTACTGTTAGGTAATAGTATGTAAAATAGCATCATTTTTTTACACAACTTGAAGCGAATCTCATATTTTTCGCTAATAAACCTCCACTTAATTAATATGGGCTAAAGGCTTATTAAAGCAGGAAGGCTTTTTAAGACTTAAAGCTTTTTCTAAAAGAAGGGTATCTCAGTAGTATAGTTGGAAGATGATTTTTTTTTTTAAATTTATTTATTCAGAAATATTACAAGCTGTCACAATTAAGGACATTTATAATAGTGTTCTGAGAGCACATTCACACTCTATTTACAATAAATAATACAGAAAATAATAATAATAAAAGTAAATGTATATAAACAAAAGAACTAAACTAATCAAAATAACATCTAAAACACATGCATACTATACAATAAATACAGAATCCATTCACTCAGGAGAACTCCGAGCCAAGCCTTTCTCCCCACTCGTGGAAGAAAAGGCAGGACTCTAGGAGATCCCAGCGCCTCGCACTGAGCCACATTACTTGTATTAAGGACCTGCAGAGGCTGAGGAGAGGCGCTGTAATCACACATTGACTTGAGTGGAGGATCTAGCCATTGCCAAAATTCTAATATATTCTTATTTACAGAAGGTCTCTGGGCCACTGCCGCTTCAATCTTCGAGGAGGATTGTAAGGATGGGTGGTGGTGGATAGAGATTGTGCAAGGGAATTTGGATGAGGTTCTGGTGAAATTTGGAGAATTTTTCTGGGATAAGGTCTAGGACAAATGATAAGGTCATGTTGTAGGGTTTTGTTAGTTACATGGAATGGAGCATCAACTATTGTTCGAAGGACTTTAGATTGAAAGATGCGCTTGATGTTAGAAAATTTTTCAGTCCCCCACAGTTCAAATCTATATGTCCATATAGGTTTCAGGATTGTCTTGTAGATAAGTAATTTGTTTTCAATAGAATGTTGAGATTTTCTGTTTAATAGTCTGTATAACTGGGCGTATCGTCGGTTGAATTCTTGTCTTTTGAGTGGAAGATGGTAAAAAAAAAACTTTTTTAGCTCCTCAAAAGTTCTCTTTAAATTATTTTAACAATGAAAAATTCTATTGTCATTTAAAACAATGAATGTTTGTCTTGTTTACAATGAAGTAATTGTTAATTACTTATCTCCATCCCACATATATTATTACAGTAAGGCTCGAAATCGGTTTTGTACCAAATATAAGCTCCTCAAATACCATGAATGGTGGGGTACCGTTGGATTCAGAATTTCACGGGGGGTTAGCGAATCGTATTCTCCACTTTTGTTTTTCTTTCTAAAATAAATAAAGTCAATAACGGGTTTTGATGCGTACAGCAAGACCCAGATAGTTTCTCGCGAACTATCGGATCCTGCGTTTTTAAGCCGAAAAACGTACTATTTTCGAGATAACGCAAGGTATAGGGTTCGCATCCACACAACCTTACATTAATTGCAGTACTGTCATTGAATACATGTCTCATTTCGTCGACTTGAGGTCTCTATGATCGAGAGAGGAGGAGTTTATATTATTTATCGATGGTGTTTTTGATCGGCAAGCCGTATCATCGTTAATTCTTCACCAAATCTCAAGATTAAGCCACCAATTTCGAAGGCTTCCTTCTCCTTCAGGCGGGCAAAATAGTCCAATCACCCCGAACATTCAGGCAAACAAGGTAAAAAATTACTAAATTCACAGCAAAAAGGAAAAAAAAATCGGACAATTTTAAGCAAAGATACAGCTTATTGAAATTTGTAAACATGTTGGTTACAAACATTAATGAAGATTTAAATTAATTTTTATTTCCTTTGTCGATTATATTTATCGATAAAGTTACAATTGATTTCTTTATCTTTTGATACGTTGCATTAATTTATTTTCTTATTAATTTGGCATTTGAAAACAATATGCTGTGCGAATTTTTCGCATGGGCCTGCTATTTATTATAACAAAATTGGATTTGGCTCGTTTTTTTTACTTATTTATTGAAAAATATTACAATCTGACTTATGGGCATTTATAATAGTGTTCAGAGATCACATTCACACTGTATGTACAATAAATAAGAATAAAATAACGTAAAAATAAATAAATAAAAGAACACATACATACCTATATACAATATTTACAATGTGGCGAGAGAACTCCAAACCATACTTGCCCCTCTATTAACACTAAACATACCATAACGGGTCAAATGACCCATTTTGAACTTTTCCATTGAAAAATGCACGTATAATTTTATTGCGTTTGCACATTTGACTTCATGACTTTTTCTAAATAATTAATGTACAGTTATAAAAATATTTTTGTTTTGTTTTGTTTTTTTTCACACCCAGCCTCTATAAAGTGGGTTGTAGTGGTATAGGTTTTTTTTTTTTTTTTTTTTTTTTTTGTTTTGTTTATTCTGAGTAATCCTTATTGTATACCGATATCTACCACAGCAGGTCATTTGACCCGGAGAGAATGTTTTTGTTTTTTGAGATTATCTAGTCATATTTGTAGTCAGTAAGTTGCACATTCTTCCAAAGACTGTTGCGTAAAGTAGTTCAACGAAAATAGCTCAGAATAATTTCAAGAAAATATCAAATTTTAGATTAAAAATAGCTTTTTAGTGTAAGAAAAAGTGGCAAAAATTGAAAGTCTTGGGAAGTACGTAGCTTATATTTTATTTTGATAGCTATAGTAATACAGATCATTTTTTACCCAGAAAAATGTCAAAGCGAACAAGACAGTACAAGTTCTTAGAAGATATAAATAATATTGGCGAAGAGTTTTCAGAAATTAGTGAAGATGAATTTTCTGAAAATGAAGATATATCGGTTGCAAATAAAAATGAGTTTGATTCTACAGATACTGACGATGAAGAGGAAAATATTGTGAATGTATGTAGTGGCCGAAAAAGAATAAGATTACTCACAAGTTCGGAAGAAAGTGAAGTAGAAATAAATGAAAAAAATGTTGCGAATGATAGATCTGTTTGGCAACAAATGCAAGTAGGTGGCACCTGGAAGAGCACCACTTCATACATTTTTGCTTTTGTAATAGAAATGCTCAACATACTATTTTGTTT